TTGATGCCTGGATCATAATTTTCTCAGTGATCGACTCGACATTATTTGTGTTCCTGGTAATTTTCTCTGTTCTGCAACTTTTTTACAAAAATATTCCAGCGTGCAACAAAAGCAAGTTTTCTGCAAGTCCAACTAAAGCAAAGATGAATCTTTATCTACAGCAGGGGGCCATTCCAGGCCTGGGGGGCCTGCAGCCTAGACGTGTCGCTACATTTCCTCCATCACTCACTGTGGGTTGGTGAACCTTTAGATGTCGAGTTCTCCTGATTCAGACCAGAGGTTTCAGAGGGAAGTGAAGCTGTGAAGCTTCCTGAACTGGAGCTGGAACTGGTTCCAGTTGATGGTGTGGAGGCTGATGCTGGGAGACAGAAGGTTAGAGCTAAAGATGCTGAGGGAGAAATGGATGAAAAAATCATCTGAATGAATATTTATAATAAAAACAGACATTTTGAAGGGTTTTATACTTAAGTTAAAAACTCACCAGTTCTGACAGTGACCTGAAAGTCTCTGTATGAACTACTGGAACCAGTTCCATCCAGTTTACATCGGTACCGACCAGAGTCAGACTGGACCAGCTGTTTGATGGTCACCAACAGAACTGCTCTGGATTTTTGATCTTCATATTTCATATAGTATCTGCTTTTATCAGCTGTGACTCCATCAGTCTGAAGAAGAACTTCATCTTTTCCACATCCTCCTCTGCAGAACTGTCGTTTCCTTCCAGAGCTTTTAAAGGAGCAGGCGACTGTCAGAGAGCTGCCAGCGTCTTTATGGAGGTGAGGAACTTTGCTTCCATCCAGCAGAGCTGATAAAATAATCGCCAGTTAGTTTCTGTTCTGAGCTTGAATCTGTTAATGCAGCAGAAACTGGAGGAGAAAATCAAACTGTTCCTCCTTCCTTCAGTTCAACAGAGACTCACCGTCTACAACAACCAGCCTGAAGTCTTGGAGTGAACCTGATGATGACGAGTCGCCCAAACCACATCGGTACCGTCCTTCATCAGACCGGGTCAGATCTGAGATGCTCACATAGAGAGAAAAAGCAGAAGTAGCTTCTTTAACACATTCAGTTCTGTATCTTCCTCTCTGATCGGTGGGTTGATTTGTTTTAATCAGGATGTTTCCTCCTTCACAGGTTTCCCTGCAGAAGATCTTCCAGGCTCCAGAGAAAGAAACAGCACATTGAACTCTGACCTCTTCTCCAGCTGCTCCATACGTATTTATCAGTGCATTAGCAGAACTGCTGATTCTGTCCTGCAGAGCTGCAGAGAAGAGCAACAAGCCGCTGTTAGTTCTTCCTGTCAGAAACCACAGAGTCATTACTTTTCTGTTTCCATCACACAGAGAGCCACCGAGAGAAAAGTTCACCTGTGACCCTCTGATTTTAATAGTTATGACCCTTCTATTGTTTATTGTTATTAAGATTTCCTTTATTCTGGGCAGCGAGTTCCTCCTCTAAAGTGTTTTATTTCTATTTTATTTCATAGCACCGTTCTGACCGTGTTTTGTTATTTCTTGTTTGGGGCTTGATGTTCTTTAGTTCTTGTGTTCCTGTACTGGTCCTTCACCAGTTCAGCTCAGCTTCAGTTGACTTCAGCAGACACTTTCCATGCTGCCTCTCCATCTGAACACCTCAGAGACCAAAGTCATGCGGTTTAGTCAGATATCTGGTCTGCTATCAAAAGAGCCTCATTCTCATTTCAGACCACAGAAACAGGAAGTCCTCGGTTTGGTTTGTAACTAATTCTTTCCTCAGAACCGGCCACTGCCATCGATGATCCTCTATTAGCTCATCATCATCATCATTTCAAAATGTCCTCATGTTAAACTCTAACTGCTCCGTCTCTGTGCTACCTGTGTTAAAGCTGCTCATCTCATCCTCTGCTTCCATCACTGCCACCTGGATTTGGTTCAGTCAGTTTATAATCTGTAACAAACCGAGTCATCGACTGCCAGCATGCCGACACCTTCTGATGCATCTCTGCTTGAATAAATCACATAAATCAGCTGGTTTTAAAGGAACGTAGGTAACACTTTATTTGAAGGGATGTGCATAAGACTGACATCACGCCTGTCATGAACATAAAGAAGTCTTTATGAATGTTTACGAGTTTTCATGAAGTGTCATTCAGTAAATAATGACACTTTTAATGCAAAGTTGCTCTAAAAGTTACATTGAAAGTCCATTAAAAGTGTCATTATTTACTGAATGACACTTCATGACAGTGTGATGTCAGTCTTATGCACATCCCTTCAAATAAAGTGTTACCGGAACATTTAGTGTTATCATCATGGTGTATTTTCATTATCAGACCAAATATGACCTGATTTTAAAAATCAATGAAACATTGATAATGATGTTTAGATGCTTCATTAAAGTCTGCAGCAGTTAAAGTAAAAGTTAAAGTCTGGTTTCAACAGTTATCGGCTGAATAACTGATCATTTTGTTTCTTATTTTCATGGGAAACTTTTTTGAATCAAGTTAGAAAAACTTGCTGCCTCATTGTTTGTTCCTGTTTTCACCACTATAGATGTTCACTGATGCATTTTTCTGGTTATTATTCTGAACAGACACATTATTAATAAAGAGGCTGTTCCTGTTTAAAGAACTATATTAAAACATCTTTATGCTTTTAGGAAGAACCGAAGGTGAAGATGTACTTACAGAGGAAGAACAAACAGAACAAAGTGTGATGGACGATCATGATGAAGCTCTGATGGTTCCCTGCAGCTAATTTCCTCCTTCAGACAACACAAAGCACCAACCTTCCTGTTTTCTCTTTCTCACATTTCATGCTGGGGGTTTGGTGGTGGAGAATGCAGTGTGTGGGACAGAGATAGAGAGCTGTCCTCACACCTTACTATTTTCATTAATGGTTGAACTGTTAGATGATGTGTGATGTGAAAAAGTGTTTCCGCTGCAGTTTTGTGCTGCAGCGTTTTTCAGTTTAACCCAGCTGTAAAACGCACTCGTTCTATATGGGGGAAATTACTGCCATAAGTCAAGAGCTTATGTTTTCAGTTTGAAAGCAGGATTTCATCTCTCTGCTGTCCTTCAAATATTCTCTGTTCTCCCTCAGATTTTCTCTCTGCACGGATCAAATCTGCCCTGGGATACCTCGCAGTTCAACGAGTACCGTCGCCTAGCAACCGTTTCAGCCAATGAAAAAGAAACATGCTTGTTTTTTGACCAAACAAAAACAAATCAGCACAGATCAGAAATGAATCTAAAAAACAGAATTTAATATAATTCAAGCTGGGAGAAATTATGACATGACAGAAAAATGACAGAGTTTGTTCAGAAATCTCTCTGCTGATATTTACCAGTAGGAAAAAACATAGAAGAAAAACAGAAACTTTTCTCGGGAATTAAAGTGAAGAAGTTTTTCTGCTCCAAAGCTTTAATTCAAGCAAATCAAGAATTTATCATCATAATAAACCAGAAACTTTCTAATGTGTAAAAATCCATTATTAGGTTTTAAAGCAGCTGCAGCTCAGAGTAAAAGCTGAGGCTCAGGTTCTAAATCCAGTTTTCTTCAGGTTTCAGCTTCACAGAACAAACTAAAACCCTGAGATCCAGAACCTGGGATCCAGAACCTGGGATCCAGAACCTGAGATCCAGAACCTGAGATCCAGAACCTGAGATCCAGAACCTGAGATCCAGAACCTGGGATCCAGAACCTGGGATCCAGAACCTGGGATCCAGAACCTGGGATCCAG